CTGCAACTACAGCGCTAGCGTCACTAAATTCTACAAACTGGACCTTTAATATATTGGGCGGCCTGCCCAAGTAAATCTGTGTGTGGTAAAGACTGAATAGAACTTACTAACTGTAAGTCGGTGAGTTTCACCTCCACCTACACAGAGAGGCTTCACATCTAAAAATGGCAGGAGAAAACGAAAGCACCACATTGAATAGAATAGAATCAACTTTACTCAGAGCCAAGTCCTGACCTGTCTGGGGTCCTAAGCAAAATTGTGCTAAGGGGCCCTCCATCCTTGGCCATGTAAACCATTTGCCGTTGCCACACAGTCACACCAGTGCTCCCAATACAGTCCTCCCTCCTTTAAAACAGTTTGCTCCTTCTGTAGGTCTAAGAATTAGTAGATCTCTGACTTTACTATTGTCACATGTACAAACATGCACAGTGCAACTTATAGTGAAATTAGTCCATTGAATTTAATCCATCCTAAGTACTAGGAACAGTGGCCACTGTGCAGCACCTGGGGACCAACTCCAGATCTAAGCCAGTGTCTTGGTCAAGGACACTGACTGGAGAAATTCCTACCATTCTAAAGACCATTTGTTTAACGATTTATGCACACCAGCACTGGTTCATTCATGGAAAGTCAGTTGCATCATATCAAAGGTTCGTGCCTACAAACTGTAGCACAGATATAACAATACCCTGTTCCTCTACTGCAGAGGCTGACACAGATGTTAAGAACTATGCATCCTCCTAACCGTTTGGCGTATCTGAGTCATTGACTCACACACGGTTGTGGTTTCCCCTCCGTTAGATTTTACAGGTCAGGAGGAGGCGCTGTCTCCTGTTCCGGCCCAACTGGAGGACAGGGCTGCTGACAGTGATCTGTCTGACAGGTCAGTCACAGCTGTTTGTCTTTCCCCTTTTCCTACAACCACCAATTTGTGCGTGGGGGGGGCCCTCAATCCCCCTAGCCTTTGTGGGTTATTTTCAACCTTTAAAGTGATGAGATTGAGATAGATAAAAGGCCATAACATCTACAGGAACTGTAACTGTGTGTGCACGCAGGGTTATCTCCGAGGATGACTTTGAGGAGGGGAGGAAAGGAGGGTTATTGGACGACGAGCTGTTTGAGCCGTATTCTGACAAGAGGTGAGACGAGATCAGCAACAGTTGTTGTACCTTCTAAAACTGAGTGACTGCTGACAGAAACCAGCTACTGTGTTTAATTCTGTCCCCTTCCCAGAGGTCGCAGGGTGACCGCCCCCAGCAAGAGAAGACGAAGCCCGAAGCCGACAGAGGAGCCCAAAATCAAAAAGAAACCCGGACCCAAACCCGGCTGGAAGAACAAGTTCAAACCTAAAGGGTACAGCTCCAGTCCTACATTTCCTTCAACACACAACTTCATTCAGTATTAGAAGATGGGTTTAGTTCATCTTTTACCAATACATGTGCATTAACTACTGTTTTATTTTCAGAGAGGAGCTGCCCAACATCTACAAGTGTCCGTATCAGGGCTGTACGGCCGTCTATAGAGCTCCTGATGGTCTGAAGGTCAGAATTCACAGAACAACAATGTTTCACTGTTAAAGTGGTAAACTATTGGAAATGATTCAGTACTAGTAGTATAGTAAAGTGCTGCAGGAATGAGTCCCAAAACCCGTAAATGAGTTAGCATTTTAGTACTTCTGGTTCCCTCTCCTTGAAGTCAATGGATGTTTGGTTAGATGCCTGAAATGAGGTCTGTGGTTTTGATGTTTTGTTCTGCAAGATAAAATAAGTCATAAATGTAAATTTTGTAGCTTTTGTTGTTTTTGTTTCTTAAAAAAGGTGTTTGCTAACTTCCAGGTTGGACTACAAAAACAATCCCTGCAGCGCTCTATTGGGTGTCCATCCTACAGCAAGCTAATTTACCGTCATATTTTACAGTAAAAGAATATCTCATATGGTGCATAGAAAATGAAGTGTATTAGTTTTACCAGAATGAGAGTGGGTTCAGACAGATTTTTCTCATGTCTCTTTCTGAAACCTACTGTGGTTATGTGAGACTCGTGAAAAAGTGGTCTGATTGCTTCGTTATTGTACATTGCTCCCATTTGGAATTATACACGACTGAATGAGTCAGTAACAATGAACAGTCAGACAGTTTCAGCATGCTCTGCCTTTGACTGTATGTATTTTCTCATCGGGTGGGTTTTTAGAAGCACATCAAGGAGCATCATGAGGAGGTGAGAGAGCGGCCCTGCCCTCACCCTGGCTGCAACAAGGTTTTCATGATCGACCGCTACCTGCAGCGACACGTCAAGCTCATCCACACAGGTGAGGCCCACAAAGATTTTATAGACGGTGTTTTACATGTGCTGTTCTTACCATCTGAGGCCTGCATCACAAAACGTTCAGGTGAGTCTGGCTCTCTTTGGGTTGCTGCAATGGCTCTTGGGGGATTTGTGTTTTGAAAACAGAATTGAAAACAGAATTGAAAACTATATAAAAATATATATAAGTCTCACTACATCCCTTAAGTTTGTTGCGTGACCAGAAAGTATTGCTAATATTGATTTCTTTAAATTGCTCATTTTTAAAGAATTTGTCTAATGTGTAGATACCTAAAGAAATCAGTGTCTGGGAGACCAAACTCCTGTTTAATCTGGGTAAATAATGGAATGTTATTCGAGTCTATTAGGTGGTGTTTAATTGGGCGCCCCAGAAATATAGTTTTAGGTTTGTGCTAATTCAAAGAGTTGTAGAGTTTTGAGCCGTTTGAGGACTGACTTCCAGACTATTTGT